AAGCAGTTGCCCATAGGGATGTTAGTGTGGACCCTTCGTGATCGCACGTGATGGCACCCTCTATCTGACAAGCAAGGAAAGCAAAGGGGAGGACTAGGGAGCAGCTGGGTGATTCCCACCTGCTCCCAGCTCCCTGGGCAGGAAGAGGCACTGCCAGGCCATGACCTCAACTCTAGCTGCCCAGAGAAAGGGGTAGGGGTGGGATACAATATTAACCCAGGGACTCCATTGCACTGACACATCTTACTAACTGTGGATTCTGTTTACTCTGGGTTTTGAAATTTTAATCCACTGTCTTTGAAGTAATAAAGTCAAAGTGCTTTGTGATTTACTGCCTCTGGGAGTGGAGGCAGCAAGGGTTAATTCTTTGATGGAGACTGAAGCACAGTCGGGAGGGAGTTGGGGCTCTGCAGGAAAATGGCATTCTGTCCGGTACCTCTGTGTTAGTAGCAGATAAGAGCATTACATGTGCTGATAATGTTACTGATTACTGATAACTACGCCTATGGAGATTTCTCACCAAACACCACCAGTGGGAACTCCAGCCAGATGTGGGTGAGGCGGTAGACCAGGAATGGTGTGATGATGCCGCCAATGTCACACATGGAGGAACAGACCAGGACACCGAGATTCCTAAGCCACAGGAAACAGATTCAACCTTTTAACTTATCACAGGCACCTCCCACAGCACCCCAGGTAAATGCTTCTCCAAACCATGAAATGTCTGAGGATGGAAAAATGTTGCTCATGTGATTTCCACATACGGGCACAGTTCTACCCACAGTCTGTTGTTCTTGTTTGCTAGAGCTTTCAGACTGGGCAGGGACTAAGGTTTAGTTCTCCCTCCATCACCTGACCTCCCCATGCCAAGTCTACAGTTACCATGGACCCCTTTAGGTGCTCTGATGGCTCTCTCCCTAGTGGCCCTGCTCTTTCGATCCTGTGTTTTCTGGAAGTTACCCAGCCTGTAAGGGTGAGAGTGAGCTGCTGCCTCCTGCCTCTGAGCCCCCTCCTGACACCTCACACTGTGCTTTGAGATGTGAGGCCTTCTGCCTGCTCACAGGGGGGCCCTAGCTCAAACCCAAGCATTCCCACTCACCTGATGAATGTGGGGTACAGTTCAGCATTGACCAGGCAAACCATCTCATAAGCCATTGTGATGCCCATCCTACCCAAGCATGCAACGGTGACTTTCAGCCACTGTAGATCTGAGGGGAAAACCTGGCATTCATCCACACTGCACACGGCCCCTTGGCCCCAAACAGTGCTTCAGAGCCTAAGTACTTGTGAGGGCAAATTCCACATTCCAGAACGAGATAAGGAAGCAAGAACTTCTCTACAGACACAAGACAAAGGCAGCAACCTCTGAAGGTCTGCAATTCTAATAGTTCTGCGTGTGCGCGTGTGTGTGCGTGTG